TGCAGCCTAACCAACAACCATTATAAAGAAAAGCTCTTTACCTTGAAAGTTCTCAAAAATAACTGATAAGAAAATAAGTCCAGAGGCTTCAGTATTTTCAGTTTTAGTAAGTAAATACTATACCTCATGAGTAGGTGAACACATTGTATGAAACTCTCCTTTGCTAAAAACAAAAAGAAAAAGAAAATTTCCTTTGCTTTGGTCTAAAGTGCTACTCTTACTTCACCTTCTCCCTACAATATTGTCCCTTTACCAGATACCAAAGTCCTGCATACCGGTAAAATTCCTTATTTTAACAAATAACTTTCAAAATATGCCCAACATTCATTCAAAGCTATAAAAATCTTTTTCCTAAAACTATTAACTTACAATAAAACATATTGAGAAGATGTTAATTTCTTTATAAACAACAGACCAGAAAAACACCTTCAGAATTATCTTCACATTCCTGACCCTTTTAACCACAATGATAGAAAACTGCCACTTGGGAAAAGACAGATCTCTGAGCCACACACAAAAGGTAATTAGTATTTTAAAAGCAGAGAGTGAGCATACATGTCAAATATATATTATACAGTTACACAAACTAAATTATTAACTTTCCAACTTGGCATCATGACAGGGTAGTTGGGAGGGAATGTAAAAGAAAATACTCAACAGCTTAAAATTAACAATGGGCCCATTTATTCAAGGTAGGATGGTTCTCCCATTTCAGCTTAAGAGGACTGAAAGTCTCTTTCTGTCCTTCTCTAGGGGGGAAACTCTGCAGCTGGCCCGTCTGACGAATCACTCAACTATATTTACAGCTTCACTCACAGCCAAGGAATGGCAAGAAAGTCTTCTTCACTTTGCACCGAACACAGAGAATTGTTGACTTTGAGGTGTTCAAATTTCATTCTTCAAGGTCCAGTTCAATCAATTTCTCCTCTGGGAAGCTGACCCCCACAAACACAAAAGATCTATGCCCACAGAAACTGAGAAACACTTATCTGTACCTTTGCCATTCCATCAAACACTGTCTTGTGACAGGTCTTACGACACTGTCTAGTACTGTACTTCTTTCTTTTCTCCCCAACCTTTGTACACTCCATTACTCTGTATCTTCTTCAAAGGCTTCGAGGAAGTATTCCTTTAACTGCTGGGTAAATGAATTCACAGCAAAGTACTTCCTGGCTCTGTCTTTCTCTGTTCTATGTTATACCCCCAAACAGGGCTCCGTACTCCAGAAATCAGGAAATATCTCCTGCTTTTCAAATCCAACTAAAATCTTGCCTGAGCTGGTAACAACTGATCTTCCTCTAACTCTTGAGAATAAGTTATTATTTGGGTATTAAAATGTCTGACCTCACTCCATCTGCTAAAGAAATGTCGTTGATGCATTTATGGAGAAATGGGAGATCATCCTCAGGAAATCCAAATATTGGCATTTAAGTAAAATACTCTAACATACATCAGAAAATAACATGCAGCAGAGTACTTCAGGCTTATGATACTATATTAAAAAGATGTTATTCACAAAAATGTTATCCTTCTTGTAATTCCAGCATGAGAAATATCAACTTGCCAAAACATGGCCTTGAATTGTGCAACAAGTCTCCTATTTCTTCTTATAAAATATACTGGCAAAGGCCATCAAACCCACAGTGCTACAATGAAACCCATCCCTACATTCCACGGTTTGAGGGCAATTCCATAAATACAGGGTCATAAAAAGCCTGCAACCTCCTGTAGCCAGCACTCCATTTTAAGAATAGGAAACTGAAGACAATGGCTCGTGATGATGCAGTTACGGCAATCCAAGATTCTCTTAAAAGTTTGCAGAAATTACCAATCTCATCTTAGAAATCAACATACTAAAAAGGAATGCAAAATTCATACAATATAGGTGATGAACAAATGTGGGTGAAATGTTAAAATTTTATAGTTCATATGCTTTAAGATACAAGTCATGTTCAGTATATTCGTATGCTGGTAATAACAAAAATCACAAGAAAACAGAATGTTCAAGTCCCAATCAATGGCTTATTTATCTCAAATACACTCACTATCAATATAGTTCCAATGTTATAAGGGAATGTAAATAGCCCTCTGGAGTTCAGAATAATACCTGACCCAAGGAAAAATTGTATACTCTTGAACTCTATTAAATATAAAGATGCAGTTTCCTAACAAAGTACAAACTTGTAATTTCTTCTTCAATTCGAACAGACCAAATAAAAATTATATAACTGCTATGTTCTCTACAATTATTGAGGATTTGATGTTTGTTTCAAGTCTCTAAATAATTTTTTTAAATTGTGTAATATTATGTTAATAGACAACTGAGAGAATACTAAGTTCCAGGACTTGCTAAGAATTTCACACACTATTAAAAGAATCACTAAATTACATGTTTTAAGGGATGCATTCAGGTTTTAATTGCTTCTTGATACTATTCATCTGCTGACCACTAAAATGTATTACATAAAAGGTAGAATATAATCAGAGAACTAATTAAGACGAGGTGTAACATTAATAATCTTACTACAACAATATAAATTAGTTACTAGGCATACATCTTTATTAGGCAATGTTACTAGGCATGTTTGAACCACACAAGGGGTTAAAAATAACTACAATGAAAAGCCAACAGCTTAGCAGCACAGTTGAGCCAACATTCCCTTCTCTCCTCCCCCTCCCCTTCCCATCCTCTCCAGTCCAGAATGAATTGCATGCCCCACTGCACAAGGTCCAAAAAGGTCACAGGAGATGGCAGAGACTTTTGTAAGAGAACAGAAATAACTCAGCAGCTTTGTTACCGTGCTTTCTTTGAATCAGTATGTTCAAAATCCTTTAATTAGCACTCTGTCTACACAAGGAAAGCATTTCTTCTGTGCCAGGGAGGGCACATATGTATGTACACAGTGTTCTGTCTTATCAGCATCACAACATGGACCTAGTGCCTCAACTTGTCTGACAGGGAACTGAAGCACAGAAAACTTTTTAAAAGGCATGGTACCACATATTTACATATCTATTTGCATTTCTATTACCAAACAACAATATGATGATTAAGTTTGTTTCATTTAGGCGTCAATTTACTTCTGGACTTTTTTCCCAACAAAAATGGAAGTATTGTTAACTAAAAAACTTTTTTTGGTCCATTATAGTAAAGGAGGATATTCAATCTTAATATAAAATAATGTTAACAGAACATAAATACAGTATTCAAATATTGTTCCTTTCCTCATAATAAATCTTCAGTAGAAAAAAAATGCCTCACTCAAACAGGAATAAATCACAAGACATATTTTTACATGGATACTTTACATTTAAAATTTCATCCAACCACAAAAAGTCTTAAAACTTGGGGGCTGGATTACATGTATGTATTTCCTTGTAAAATCTGAAAAACTGAAGTCACGACAGAAATTAGTGATAAATTAATGACAACTATTTAAAAATCCACAGCCAAGAAACAAGAAATGATAGCTATTTAAAAATCCACAGCCAAGAACACTTCATTAGTAAGCTGGGGTTTGCAGTACTTTAATTGGGACATGTAAGAGTTACAAACTTATTTTTAATCTTTCAAAATCAAGTTGAATATATATTGCAAGAAGCAGTGGTGCGTATATATATATTTATACATATATAATTAAACAAGACAATAACCTTCTAACTGTCTGATTATAGAAACAATCTACTTAAATTTAAGATAAAGTTTATTATTAGGGATGCAGCATAACATAATTGCTTGAAAGCCAGCTCTTCCACACCAGTCATGTGAGCTCACAAACAGTTCTGGACAATGGAAATAATACCACTATTTCGAAGGTTGGCATGAGAATTAAACGAGACGATGCATGTAAAGCACTTGGCAAAAATCCCAAAATTTGCTGGTAAGGCTGTGGGGGGAAGGAATAGGTATTTTTATGCACTGCACAAACATGTTAATTACACAACCTATCAAAATTATATACATATATATGTAAAACTATGCATACATGGTATCCCCTGCAGCACTGTTTGTAATAGCAGTATTGGAAACAATATAAATACCCTTCCACAGGGGATGGTTAAATAAATCTTACTTCCCTACAAGAGAATTCCATATAGTTGTTTTAAAAAAACAACTACTATATATTAATAGGGAAAGTTCTCCATGGTAAATTGTTGAGAAAAAAACAAGGTGTGGAACAGTGTGTACAATACACTACTATATACATAAAAGGGGAGTAGATGTTCATATTTATTTGAATATACAAATAGAAAAAAACTCTGGAAAGTTATACAAGTAATTAATAGCAATAATTACCTACTGATGATGAAATTGAAACAGTACCTGACACAGTCAAGCCCCAATAAATGAAAGCTATAATTACCCTCCTCATCATCATCAGGAAAACATATCTATAAAATGTATATACAGAATTCATTCAAACTAAATTCATACTGAGGTAAGCAGCCAAATCTGAATTATTCACAGACTGACTATCTAGCTGGAGATCCAAGTCTTTCATTTCTTCTGCAAAGGTAAGTAGCTTTGGGCCCTTTTACTGTTAGCCATCACCTTCACCAGAAAGTAAGCTGAGGAAATAACACCAAAAACAGTCATTTCATTAATACTAAGTTTTTAATAAACAGCTCTGGAACTGAAAGGGACCATGAAAATTCCATAGCACAATCTTCTTATATTACATATGAAGAAACTAAGATCCAGAGAATTCCCCAAATTAGTTACAGTTCAAAGATCTGAAGTCTACCCCTTAGATAAATGCTTTCCATTTTATCATTAAGGTGATGAAGGGAAACTGAAAATAAACAAAATTGAAATCAATTATCTTTGCTAACTTCCCTCCCACCATATCCTTTATTACAGATAACTAAGTTTGTTGAGATCAAATCCCAATAAGCAATTGTAGTAAGTAGAGAACAGGTCATCCAGAGAATTAGTCCTGAGGTATCCAGGATTAAGCATTGAATAAACATCTGAAATAAAATCTGTAAAGTTTGCTTACACTAGAGATTGTCAGAGGCATGTTGAAATCCTTGCCACCTTGCAGCCGGAAACCCCAAGGAGCTGGGCCAACCAAGGACACACTGTAGTTGCTCATGGTTCTAATGGCTCAAAGTCCAATCCCAGAAAGTGAAACTGTGAAAAGAAAATCAGATGATTAAAAAAATATTTATTTGAAGCCCTATTATTATTTAAATGTATTTAATATAAACCCAACTAAATTATGTTCAGTATTTTGTTTTGGGGGGTATGATGGGCTTTAGAGGATAAGTCTATATTAAGTTCTCATTTCAGTCTAAGAAAAGGAATATATGAGCTAATATAAAATTTCTAAACTCACGCCAATTTCCATAGTATAAAAATTCCACATCAGAATATATTTCTAGACACTTGATCCATTTTACAACTTGCTACAATTTGTGGCTTCTTGCACACAAACTTTAACTCAAAGTACTTTACAATATTTTGTTATATATAGAAGAACAAGATTTTATTTCAGGTTTAATTCAATGTGATTTTCTCCTTCCCTCTACCTCATGCATTCTTTTGCCTGCAATTGGCAAGAGACCTTCAATTTCACTTACTTAAATTCTAAATTACTCTAACATATGAAAAGCACTGTTAATTCATAGACTCTCATTCATGCTTACTAGGTTCTTTAAAATGAGTTTTTTTCATGTATAAAACTATTCTCTCCAATCATAAACTATAACTTGAATTTCCTCCTATAAAGATGTGATATATTCCACACTTAGAGTAATATACACTTTTTCTTCAGACAGGCTAGGATAGGCAATACTCCAGCACAGTGATATTTCAATCAGAACCCACGTTTTGTTTACACACACACCTCATCAGGCAAAGAAGAGAGTGAGCATTTACCATACAGTGAGACTGACTAAATGTGGTAGGAGTATAATCTTACTACATGAAAGGGAACAGGAACTTTCGAAAAGAACCAGCACTTCAGTGCCTTCTTTTTTGTGTTTTGCTCTTAAGGACTCTCGCAGTAGCACTTTGATATAACAAAAAAACTAAAGCAAAAAATTATGAGTTGGAGTTTGAGGTTGGTTCTTATGGTGGTTACATGTGGGTGGGAGAAAATGGGAGGAATGGAGATTTTCTTCTAAGATGTAATGCTAAGAAAACATAATATTTCCCACTTTAAAAATATAAGACATGTATAATTTAATAATTTTAACTTTAAAAAAGAAAAAGCTGTTTAAGACACACTTCCTTAGAAAATCTGTGCTGTTCAACCAATCATCACCTTATATTACCCATCTTAAAATATTTTTTAACCCACTTAAAATCTCTATACCATCACACAAAATTGATAGCGGCAGATGTAGATATTTGAACCACTGGGTATATTAAAAGCAAATAGAGTTCATCTTTTCATAAGAAGAAACTGAGGCAAAAACTTTGAAATAAGTCTGGCTCTTAAAAAATTACATCAGTATCTGCATGGCATCTACCTAGAAACTAAATGAGTTTTCCTACTGGCATGGTAGTATACTGAAGTACTAAGAATACATTACTTCAATACTGAGGTACAGGCACAGGGCCTTAAAAAGACCAAAGGTCAAGCCAGACGCCAAACTGTTAGATATACATGAAAAACATATAGTAGGAAGGTAATAAGGAGCCACATATAACTTAATTCCTTCCCCCATAATAAAAGCTTTTCATAGAGCTAGAAAAGGCTGTTTTGATATTGACATATTATACAAATCAGAAGTCTATAAAGCCAACAGAGAGTTCACAAGCAGCCTGTCCTCCCTTCTTTTTTAATCTTTAACTTTTGTCAAGAGAAGAATGTTTAAGTTAGGCTCAACTTCTGGCTCCACTGTTTCCCTACAAGAAAATGTACCCACCCATGTACATGCAAGGTCCTTTTACTTGGGAGTTCCCTTCCTGACTTCTCCCATTTATTAAAAATTCCAGCGCTGGCAAGGTCAGAGCCACACTACAGAACCAGTGTCATTTCATTTCTAGTCACTGTCCTTTCCAGTCTTCTCCCTGTGCTAGCTTCATCTGCCTTAAAATATTCTGACCCCTAAGCAACGGTAATATTATTGGCCTTGCCCAGGTCTCCTCCATCTGGTTTTAAGTGCCCCAACTCTTCCTAAAATACCAAGCAGGCAGGCTACAGCAGCCTACTCTGCTTCCAAACTCGTAGGAAATGTTGGCGCTTCTGGACAGTTCTGGATTTTTCTCTCTTAGGCCAAGTCTCAACCATGTATTCGCCCTGGGAAGGAAGGTTGGTTCTTTCCCACACTCCTACCCCAGCTTCCCTGGTGGGTGAGGAGGGGGGGAAAGAGAATTGGTGATGAACTGCTCAGGGTAACAAGCGGCGTCCGAAATGGAAGGGCAGTCTCTTGAGATTCTCTTTTGCCCCAGATAGAGAGGCAGCGTGGGTAGCGCTGAAGCACTAAGGCCACAGGCGCAGGATGAAAGCGGCCGACGAGACGGTTTTCCAGCAGATGTTCTCGCCGAGCCCCGTTTGCCAAATAAGGCTCCGGAGCCGGCCGTTTCCGCGGCAGGCGGCTCCGCGTCCTCGCGGGCAGGAAGGCGGACCCGGGATAGGATCTGGCGATCACACCCGGGACCTGCCCAGCCCAGCGCGACCGCGAACTTTCTGTCCAAGCTCTGCCCTGTCCAAACGCCCTTCCTTTTTCCACTTATTGTCAAGCGCACTGAAGGCACGGTCTTAGAAAAGCCCCAACAAGCACACGGATATTAAAAAACTTGGCGTTCACCACAGATCTCTGTTTATTAAACGAGCTTTATTTCCGGACGCACGGAAGTTTTCCCCCAAACAGGTTACAAAATCCTAAATATCTGGGGAAGGGGGGGGGGATAAATGCTTCTCAGTAGCGTGAGAGGAAACAAAAACTAACACGCCATTCCCATTGGGTCCCGCTTCCTCTCCACACCCCGAGAGGGATTCGCGCAGGACGTGGGTGGACGCGGACGCCGAGGCGGGTGCCTGGAGAC